AAACTGGACAAGCTAGAAGAAATGGACAAATTCCTAGAAACATATTCATCCAAAAGTGAATCATGAAGAAATAGAAAATTTGAGCAGACCAATTACTAGTAATGAACTTGAACTGGTAATCAACTCCCAACAAAAATCCAGGACCAGGGGCACCTGCGTGGCTCAGTCAGTTAAGCGTCTGCCTTCGGCTCAGGTCATGATCCCAGGGTCGTGGGATCAAGTCCCGTATCGGGCTCCCTGCTCAGCGGGGAACCTGCTTCTCCCTCTGCCTGCCGCTCCCCCTGCTTGTGTGCTCTCTCTCACTATCTCTCTCTCTGTGTCAAATAAATAAAAAGTCTTAAAAAGAAAAAAAATCCAGGACCAGATGCCTTCACTGGTAAATTCTACCAAACACTTAGAGAAGAGCTAATACCGGGGCATCTGGGTGGCTCAGTCCATTAAGCATCTGCCTTTGGCTCAGGTCATGATCTCAGGGTCGTGGGACTGAGCCCCATGCTGACTCCCTGCTCAGTGGGGAGCCTGCTTCTCCCTCTCCTCCCTGCTTGTGTTCTTTCTCACTATCTTTGTCTGTCAAATCATAAAATCTTTAAAAAAAAAAAAAAAAAAAGCTAATACCTATCCTTCTCAAACTATTCCAAGAAACTGAAAGAAAACTTCCAAATTCATTCTACGAGGCCAGCATTACCTTGATACCAAAACTAGGCAAAGATGCTACAAAAATTAAAAAAAAAAAACAAACCAAAAAAACAAAAAATCAACAACTATAGGCCAATATTCTTGATGAACCAGATGCAAAAACACCATGAACAAATACTAGCAAACAGAATTCAAAAAGATCATTCACCAGGGCACCTAGCTGGCTCAGTTGATAGAGCATGTGACTCTTGATCTTGGGGTCATGAGTTTGAGCCCCCTATTGGGGGTAGAGTTTACCTAAAAAAAAAAAAGTATTAAAAAAAAAAAGATCATTCACCACAATCAAACAGGAATTATTCCAGGTATGTGAAGGTGGTTTATATTGCAAATCAATAAATGTGATACATCACATTAACAAGAAAAAGAAAAAAAGTTGTATGATCATTTCAATAGGTGCAGAAAAAGCATCTGACAAAATACAACATCTGTTCATGATAAAAACTCTCAACAAAGTGGGTTCTTTGAAGGAACATATCTCAAAATAATAAGGTCCATATATGAAAAGCCAACAGATAACATCATATCAGTGGTGAAAAACTGAAAGCATTTCCTCTAAGGTAAGGAACAAGACAAGGATGTCCACGCTCACCACATTCATTTCAATATAGTACTGGAAATCCTAGCCGCAGCAATCAGACATGAAAAATAAAAGGCATCCAAGTTGTCAAGGAAGTACAGTAGTCATCATTTGAAGATGGCATGATAATATATACAGAAAACCCTAAAGATTCTACCAGAAAACTATTAGAATAAATGAATTCAGTAAAGTTGCAGGATACAAAATTAATATGCAGAAATCATTTGTATTTCTATACACCAATAGGGAAGTAGCAGAAAGAGAAATTAAGAAAATAACCCCATTTACAATTGCACCAAAAATAATAAAATACCTAGGAATGAATTTAACCATGGAGGTAAAAGACCTATACTCTGAAAACTATTAGACATTGGTGAAAGAAATTAAGGATGTCACAAATAGGGGGATATGCCATGCTCATAAATAGGAAAAATTAATATTGTTAAAATATCCATACCACCCAAAGCAATCTACTCATTCAATGCAATCCCTAACAAAATACCAATAGGATTTTTCATCGAACTAGAACAAATAATCCTAAAATTTGTAGCTCCTGAAAAGCTAAAGCAATCTTGAGAAAGAACAAAGGTAGAGGAATCACAATCCCAGATTTCAAGATATACAACAAAGCCGTAGTAATCAAAACAGTATGGTACTGGCACAAAGATAGATACATAGATCAATATAACAGGATAGAGAGCCTGGAAATAAACTCATGCCTATATGGTCAATTAATCAATGACAAAGGAGGCAAGAATATACAATGGGAAAGACGGTCTCTTTAATAAATGGTGTGGGCAAAACAGGATAGCTACATGCAAAAGAATGAAACTGGACCACTTTCTCATACCACACACAAACTAAAATAGATTAGCGATCTAAATGTGACCTGAAACCATAAAACTCCATCAAGAAAGTATAGGCATTAATCTCTTGGACGTAGGCCTTAATAATATATTTATGGATGTATCTCCTCAGGCAAGGGAAACAAAAGCAAAAATAAACTATTTGGGACTACACCAAAATAAAAAGCTTTTGGAAACCAACAGAAACCATCAACAAAACAAAAAGGCAACCTAGTGAATGGGAGAAGATATTTGCAAATGGTATATTCAATAGGGGGTCACTATCCAAAATATATAAGGACATTATACACTAAAAAACAATCCAATTAAAAAATAGGCAGAGGACCTGAATAGACCTATTTCCAAAGAAGACATAGAGATGGCCAACAGGCAAATGAAAACATGTCCAACATCACCAATCACCAGGGAAATGCAAATTAAAGCCACAATGAGTTATCAATTCACACCAGTCAGAATGGCTATAATCAAAAACACAAGAAATAAATGTTGGCAAGGATGTGGGGAAAAAGAACACTTGTGCACTGTTGCTGAGAATGTAAATTGGTGCAGCCACTATGGATAACAGTATGGAGGTTCCTCAAAAACTTAAACATAGAAATACCATATGATCCAGTAATTCCTCCCCAGAAGGGAGGAGTCAAGTGATGGGTAAAATAGGTGAGGGTGATTAATAGGTACAAACTTCCAGTTCTAAAATAAGTCATGGAGATGAAAAGTACAGCACAAGGAAAATAGTATTAAAAATACATTATTTGGGGGGCACCTCGGTGGCTCAGTGGGTTAAGCGTCCCACCCTTGATTTTGGCTGAGGTCATGATCTCAAGGTCGTGAGATTGCGCTCATACTGGGTATGGAAACTGCTTAAGATTCTCTCTCTCTCTCTGCCCCTCACTGCCCCACACTGACCGGCAAGCATGTGTGTGTGCACCCACACACACTCTAAAACAAACAAAATATATATATATAATTTTGAATAATCAAACTCACAGAAAAATTAATTTTTTGAGACATTTTATTTTTAAAATTTATTTTAGAGAGATAGAGAGAGCTCCAGTGTGGGAAAGGGCAGAGGGAGAGAATCTCAAGCAGACTTCCCACTGAGCACAGAGCCCTACATGGGGCTCTATCCCATGACCCAAGAGATCATGACCTGAGCTGAGATAATGAGTCAGCTGCTTAACCAACTGAGCCACCCAGGTGCCCCTCCTGAGACTTTTTAGAGTAACTTGTCAACCTGATGCCCCATCACATCTGAATTATTATGTATTTCGTATAAAGAAGTATTCTTTTGAATAACTGCAATACAGTCAGGAAATTATAATACATTACTGCCATCTAATCTATGTTCCAAGCTTTCTCTAAGCTCAGCTTTAGCAGCATCCTACATATCTGGATATGGTATTCTTTCACTATTATTGAAGATTCAAAATATTTTAAAATTTTCATAATTCCTTGACACGTTATTTGGAGGAATATACTCTATTTCTAAACAAGGACTTTTATTTATTTATTTTTTTAAATATTTTATTTATTTGACAGAGACACAGTGAGAGAAGGAACACAAGCAGGGGCAGAGGGAGAGGGAGAAGCAGGTTTCCCGCTGAGCAGGGAGCCCGATGCGGGGCTCAATCCCAGGACCCTGGGATCATGACCTGAGCCAAAGGCAGACGCTTAAGACTGAGCCACCCAGGCACCCCAAAACATGGACTTTTAAATCTTTTTGTTATTGATTTCTAAGAATTCTGTACTCAGATACACATTCTGTATATTTTCTATTCATTGAAATATGCCGAGGGCTGTTTTACGAACAAGCACATCGTCAATTTTTGCAAACGTTTTATGAGAATGTAAAAATATTCTGTATTTTGGACATTGTTTTAATGTGTAAATTAGGTCAAATTATTACTTTTGTTCAAATATTCTATACCCATACTGATTTTTTTTGGTTTGTCCTATCAGTTACTAAGAATAGCTTGTTAAAATATCCTTGTATGAATGTGGATTTGCCTCTTTTAATTTTCACAATTTTTGCTTTATATATCTTTTTTTTTTTTTAAGATTTTATTTATTTATTTGAGAGAGAGAGAGTGAGAGAGACAGAGAGCATGAGAGGGAGGAGGGTCAGAGGGAGAAGCAGACTCCCCGCCGAGCAGGGAGCCCGATGCGGGACTCGATCCCGGGACTCCAGGATCATGACCTGAGCCGAAGGCAGTCGCCCAACCAACTGAGCCACCCAGGCGCCCTTGCTTTATATATCTTAAAGTGTTATTAGGTGCATAAAATATAGAATTCTAACTTCCTGGTTTGTTGAATTTTTATTATTTATTTATTTGTTTTTAAAGATTTTATTTTTTTTATTTTTATTTTTTAAAGATTTTATTTTTTAGAGAGCGAGCGAGAGAGAAACAGCATGAGAGGGGAGAGGGTCAGAGGGAGAAGCAGGCTCCCCGCTGAGCCGGGAGCCCGATGTGGGACTCGATCCCAGGACCCTGGGATCATGACCTGAGCCGAAGGCAGACGCTTAACCATCTGAGCCACCCAGGCGCCCAAAGATTTTATTTATTTGACAGAGACACAGCGAGAGAGGGAACACAAGCAGGGGGAGTGGGAGAGGGAGAAGCAGGCTTCCTGCCGAGCAGGGAGCCCGATGCGGGGATCCCAGCACTCTGGGATCATGACCTGAGCCGAAGGCAGCCGCTTAACGACTGAGCCACCCAGGTGTCCCATGAACCTTTTATCATTATGAAAAGATAAAATGAGGTGTCCCTTGTAATACTCCTGGCTTCAAGTCTACTTTGGCTGAAATTAAAAGAGCTACATTAGCTTTTTTGGTATTCATATGGTATATTTCACCATCATGCTTTCAACCTGTCCATGTTCTTATATTTAAGGTATGTCTCTTATACATAGTATATAGCTGTCCTTTTTTTTTTTTAATCCAGCTGCCGGTCTTTATCTTTCCATAGGAATATTTAGTCCAATTAAAAAGTACGGCATAATTGGGCGCCTGGGTGGCTCAGTTGGTTAAGCGACTGCCTTCGGCTCAGGTCATGGTCCTGGAGTCCCTGGATCGAGTCCTGCATCGGGCTCCCTGATGGCGAGGAGCCTGTTTCTCCCTCTAACCCTCCCCCCTCTCATGTACTCTCTCTCATTCTCGCTCTCTCAAATAAATAAATAAATCTTTAAAAAAAAAAAAAAGGCATAATTACCAACACATTTGCATACAAATATGCCATTTTGCTCTTTTTTGCCCTACCTGTTCCACAGTCCTTTTACTTTTCTGCCTCTTTGAAAGATTCCAGGGTACCTAGGTGGTTCAGTTAAGCATCCGATGCTCAGTTTCGGCTCAGGTCATGATCTCAGGGTTGTGAGATCCAGCCCTGCGTCTGGCTCCACACTCAGCACAGAGTCTGCTTGATATTTTCTCTCCCTTTTCTTTGCCCCTCCCCCTGCTCTCTCTACATACATACATACATACATAAGCCTAAAAAAAAAAAGATCCCAGTCCCCTCCTCCCATTAGCTTGTTATTTGTATATTGTTTTAACTATTATTCAGTAGTTTGCCTGGACATGATGTTAAAGTTCTTGGCAGTGTCTTCTACTTCATGGGCATCCACTTCATGAGCTGTAGAACTTGTACATTCAGACACATATAATCCCATTCAAAAGATGTAGAAACAGACAAAAGAGAAATAGTCTAATAACTCCCATACCAATGGTACTTACCACTATACAATCAGGCTTAATGTTGACCACATTCCCTCAAATAGTCTAGTACCCTTTGAAAACCCTCTATGGCTTATCAAACTCAACACCCAAAAAACAAATAATCCAATCAAGAAATGGGAAGAAGATGTGAACAGACATTTCTCCAAAGAAGATATCCAAATGGCCAATAGACACATGAAAAAATGCTCTACATCACTCAGCATCAGGGAAATACAAATCAAAACCACAATGAGATACCACCTTACACCTGTCAGAATGGCTAAAATTAACAAGTCAGGAAACAAGAGATGTTGGTGAGGATGCAGAGAAAGGGGAACCCTCCTACACTGTTGGTGGGAATGCAAGCTGGTGCAGCCACTCTGGAAAATGGTATGGAGGTTCCTCAAAAAGTTGAAAACAGAGCTACCCTATGACCCAGCAATTGCACTACTGGGTATTGACCCCAAAGATACAAATGTAATGATCCGAAGGGGCACATGCACCCCAATGTTTATAGCAGCAATGTCCACAATAGCCAGACTATGGAAAAAGCCCAGATGTCCATGGACAGATGAATGGTAAAGAAGATGTATACATATACAATGGAATATTACTCAGCCATCAAAAAATGAAATCTTGCCATTTGCAATGATGTGGATGGAACTAGAGGGTATTATGCTAAGCAAAATAGGTCAATCAGAGAAAAACAATTATCATATGATCTCACTCATGTGGAATTTTAAAAACAAAATAGAAAAAAAAAACAAAACAGAGGATCACAGAGGAAGAGAGGAAAAAATAAAACAAGATGAAATCAGAGAGGGAAACAAACCATAAGAGACTTTTTTTTTTTCATATTTTATTTGACAGAGAGAGAGCACAAGTAGGCAGAGCAGCAGGCAAAGGGAGAGGGAGAAGCGAGCTTCCCGCTGAGCAGGGAGCCCAACATGGGGCTCGATCCCAGGACCCTTGAATCATGACCTGAGCCAAAGGTAGACGCTTAACTGACTGAGCCACCCAGGCACCCCACCGTAAGAGGCTCTTAATCATAGGAAACAAAATGAAGGTTGCTGGAGGGGATGGGGGTGGGAGGATAGAGCAACTGGGTGATGGACATTAAGGAGGGCACGTGACGTAATGAGCACAGGGTGTAAGACTGATGAATCACTGACCTCTACCTCTGAAACTAGTAACACATTATATGTTAACTAATTAAATTTAAATTTTAAAAAAAGGAAAAAGAAAACCATCTATGGATTTTCTGTCATTATCTGCTACTTACCTAAATTCTGGCTGGCGATTTTTCTTAAAAACTTAAAAGTTACCCTGTATATATCTGTCAATTTTCCCCCCTCTGCAGCATCTACCATTCTCCCAGCTAGTAGGTCCAAACCCTTAGTCTCCTGGGATGCTTCCATCTCCCATCATTGATTCAACCACTACATTCCTTAGCAATGTCTCTGACGTTAGTTCCATCTCATTACTGCTAATTAATGTTAACATATCATTCTGAGCTTTTATAAACTCATTCATGTAGCATGCTACCAATACCTTGCTTTCCTAGCTCCCATGTTTGCCCTATTACCCTTTTTGTGTTATACCCATTACTTCAATTATTTAAAACTGCCCTTCATCTTGAAGCTCCCCCGTTTTCTAATGGCTCCCCGTCTATAACAAAGAAACCACAACAGGAATGCAAGTAACTCTGTATGGGACAAGAGACTGCTGTTATAATTCTCCATTTCAACATGGTGGCACTGCACCAGCATGCTTTATTATAAGTTGGAAAGGCCATATGTTAAACTGGAATTTATAAAAAATTGGAAGAAAAAAATAAAAATAAAAGTTGGCACCAAATAGCAGCTGCTTTGTCTTAAGTTACTCCTATCATAGAAAGCCAGGTCTCTGGTAAAAGTGATGATTCCCTATTTTCTTCCTTAGAGCATCACATAGCCAATGCCTGCCATAGTACTTATATGGGATAGAATGAGAATATGGTGTGTTTTGTTTTGTTTTTAAATATTTTATTTATTTGACAGAGAGAGACACAGCGAGAGAGGGAACACAAGCAGGGGGAGTGGGAGAGGGAGAAGCAGGCTTCCCGCCGAGCAGGGAGCCCGATGTGGGGCTCGATCCCAGGACCCTTGAATCATGACCTGAGCCGAAGGCAGACGTCTAACGACTGAGCCACCCAGGCGCCCCTTGTTTTGTTTTGTTTTTAAGATTTTATTTATTTATTTGACAGAGAGAGACACAGCAAGAGAAGGAACACAAGCGGGGAAGTGGGAGATGGAGAAGCAGGCTTCCCGCCGAGCAGGGAGCCCGATGCGGGGCTCGATCCCAGGACCCTGGGATCATGACCTGAGCCGAAGGCAGATTCTTTTTTTTTTTTTTTTAAAGATTTATTTATTTATTTGAGAGAGCGAGAGAATACATGAGGGGGGGAGGGTTAGAGGGAGAAGCAGGCTCCTCGCCAGGCAGGGAGCCCGATGCGGGACTCGATCCAGGGACTCCAGGATCATGACCTGAGCCGAAGGCAGTCGCTCAACCAACTGAGCCACCCAGGCGCCCCCGAAGGCAGATTCTTAACGACTGAGCCACCCAGGGGCCCCTTGTTTGTTTGTTTTTTAAAGATCCTATTTATTTGAGAGAGAAAGAATGAGACAGAGAGGGAGCATGAGACCGGGGAGTGTCAGAGGGAGCAGCAGACACCCCACTGAGCAGGGAGCCCCATGCGGGACTCGATCCCAGGACTCCAGGATCATGACCTGAGCTGAAGGCAGTCGCTTAACCAACTGAGCCACCCAGCTGCCCCTGTTTTTTTTTTTTTTTAAATAGTGCTTTTTCAAAAAGATTTTATTTATTTGACAGAGAGAGAGCGCACAAACGGGGGAGTGGAAGAGGGAGAGGAAGCAGATGCCCCACTGAGTAGGGAGCCTGATGTGGGGCTCGATCCCAGGACCCCAAGATCATGACTTGAGCCGAAGGCAGACGCTTAACTGACTGAGCCACCCAGGCACCCAGAGAAGAAACATGTTTAAAAGCTGGGAAAGTGACATTTTTTTTTCTCAAAGTGATCCTCTGAGAGTATAACTACACTGAAATCCTGTTTTGAGAAATCTGCTTGTATGGTAAATATGTATGAATGTTCATACACAAAGTTGATATCCACACACAGCATGGCAACAGTGTTGTTAGAATATTTTGAGGGTTTTATATCCAACTGAGTATTATATTTATGGTGAAGAGGCACCTTGTGACTAAGTTAAACCACTACTCACACCTTGATTTTTTTTTTTTTAAAGATTTTATTTATTTATTTATTAGAGAGCAAGCGAGAGAGAAACAGCATGAGAGAGGAGAGGGTCAGAAGGAGAAGCAGGTTCCCCGCTGAGCCGGGAGCCCATGTGGGACTCGATCCCAGGACCCTGGGATCATGACCTGAGCCGAAGGCAGTCGCTTAACCAACTGAGCCACCCAGGCGCCCCTTGATTTTTTTTTTAATAAACTTTTTTTAAAGAGCAGTTTTAGGTTCATAGCAAAATTGAGCAGAAGAGTAGAGTTCCCATCTATTCTGTCCCCACAGATACACCTTATCATTCTCAATTTGCATCTTCACTGGAACTCCTGGCTGGCTCCATCAGTAGAGCATACAACTCTTGATTTGGGGGTTGTAAGTTGGAGCCCCATGCTGGGTGTACTGATTAAAAACAAAATCTTTAAATAAAAAAAATTTGCATCTTCAGGGGTGCCTGGGTGGCTCAGTCAGTTAAGCATCTGCCTCTTCATTTTGGCTCAGGTCATGATCTCAGGGTTGTGATACTGAGCCCTGTATTGGGCTCCACATTGGGTGTGGAACCTGCTTAAGATTCTCTCTCCCTCTGCCTTTTCCCTCACCTCTGCCTCTCAAAAAAAAAAAAAAAAAAAAAAATTGCATCTTCAGTTAGATTTGCTAGAGTCATCTGCCAATGTTTCAACATCTAATTAGTACTTACATTCTTTTAATGTTACTTTGCTTGCATTACTGGATTTCAAGTGTTCTGCTTGTTTTGATCTTTTTTCTTATAGTCAAGGTATATAAATTATATAGGAACTTTGTTTTATTTTGAGGCATGGTTATGTGGGTAAATTCACAGTTCTATTGATCTATCCAAATCTTACAGCACCTACGATTTAGTTATGGAGTTCCGAAAGCAAGCAGCAGAAATAAAACAAGCAACTCAAGGTGTATGACCAGCATGAAATCAGGACAATGCTAGACTCCGAGTGAAATGCATTTTGTGGTGCATTTGGATGACATACTAATCAGTGAGAGACTCAAGAGTTCAGGTACCTGTCCCTGCAGTAAAGTTATAGTGGTTATCCTTGATATTTTACATAGTACACAACAGTTTGTATTTTTTCTAAATATTAAGCAATGTGAATTCAATGGACACTGCAGATAAAGTGCTCCCAGGGAGGATTTACTCTCAGGAAAGAAAAAAGATTTATGATAACAGCACTTTTGGACTACATAAAAAAATGTACACAGCTGTCAATTAGTTCTGTGTCCATGTGCATTAGTTAAGTGGATATCTACTGTGATGTGGGTCAAAGCCTTTGGTTTAAGAAAGTTCTCACACAGGGGTGCCTGGGTGGCTCAGCCAGTTAAGCATCTGCCTTCGGCTCAGGTCATGATCCCAGGGTCCTGGGATCGAGCCCCACATCGGGCTCCCTGCTCAGTGGGGAGCCTGCTTCTCCAGCTGCCTGCTGCTTTCCCTGACAAATAAGTAAATCAATCACTCAATCAATCTTAAAAAAAAAAGTTCTCATATCTAATTCAGACATGCTAGAATGACAGCTAACCTTATTCACCTTATTTAGGGATACCTCTATTCTCACTCATTTCTCCAATGATCCAAGTAATGTAGGATCGATGTAGGAAATTTGCAAAGTATAGGACAATGAAAAGAAGCAAAAAATAAAAACAAAAAGCAATAATCATTGCTAGCCAACAATGATTCCCATAGGAGTGGAAGGGTACATATAACCAGGGATTTGTCATGCAGTGGAATATGGGATTCCCAAAATTTGTCTTCACTGTTGATGGTGGGCCCCCCTCAGTATGCTGTTCTTCCCTGCAGGGAACACACTCTCTCCTCAAAGATCTGAAATTTGGCCTCTTGGTCTCTCCTCTAAGATGTTAAATCTTTCCCTTGTTCACTTACTCCCTGAGCCCTAAGGTGGTAGACTGTCCCAGCAGTTGCTACTTCTGCTACACCTGAGAGTTCTCACACTTAGAATCTTTATGCAGATCCTCCTTGACTTAAGATGGTGTTACAGCCCCATAAACCCACTGGAGTTGGAAATAATGTTAAGTCAAAAACGCATTTAATACACCTAACCTACTAAACACCATAGCTTAGCTTGGCCTAACTTAAAGGTGCTCCAACACCTACATTATTAGCCTACAGTTGGGAAAACCATCTAACACAAAGTCTACTGTATAAAAAAGTGTCTAATATCTCATGTAATTTATTGAATACTGCACTCAATGCAAAAAACAGAATGGCTGTATGTGTACTGAATAGTTTTGTTTTTTTTTTTTAAGAGTTTATTTATTTGACAGAGAGAGACACAGCGAGAGAGGGAACACAAGCAGGGGGAGTGGGGGAGGGAGAAGCAGGCTTCCCGCGGAGCAGGGAGCCCGATGTGGGGCTCGATCCCAGGACCCTGGGATCATGACCTGAGCCGAAGGCAGGCGCTCAACGACTGAGCCACCCACGCGCCCCGTGTACTGAATAGTTTTAAGTGTATCGGTTGTTTACCCTTGTGATTGAATGGCTGACTGGTAGCTAGCTGCATACTGCCAGCCCAGGAAAAGATAAAAATTCAAAATTCTAAGTATGGTTTCTACTGAACGTGTATCTTTTTGCCAGACGTGTAATCACTGTGCAGCATCATGAAGTTGAAAAATCGTAAGTCAAACCATTGGTAAGGTGGGGACTGTCCGTATTAGTTTTCCCTTGATATAATCTTCAAAAAGCCTTTGACAAAATTCAACACCCATCTCTGATAAAAAGCACTTAAAAAAATAGGAATTGACGGATATTTTTAACATGATAAAATATGTTTAGTCCTAAAGCCAGCATCTTATTTAATGGCTAAACACTGGAAACATTTCTACTGAGAACAAGAATAAGGGAAGGGTGCCCGTTATTTCTCTTATTCAATACTGTACTAGTGGTATTAAGCAATACAGTTAGACAAGAAAAATGAGTTAGAGGCACAGAAACTGGTAAAGAATTAAAACCAACTCTATTTGCAGGTGATATGATGATATACCTGAAAAATCCTAGAGAAATGATAAAACTCAATATGAGAATTCAGTAAGATAGCAAGACACAGCATTAACATACAGAAATTGCCTTCATATCCTAAAAGGATCAGCACACAATGGTAGAGGAAACCTCATTTCAATAACAATAAAGATTAAATACTTAGGACTAAGCTCACAAGAAATATGCAAAACCTATAGGAGAAAAAATTTAAAACACCCCTGAAAGACACAAAAGCAGAGTGCTCTTGATTATGATGGCTTATTATCATAGATATCAGTTAACTAAAATTAGATCCTGATCTCACAAATGCACAAGAATATGCTCCAAATTAGTAGGAATCTCCTTAAATTAAAAAATGAAACAATACAAAAGCACAAGAAAAACACGGGTAAATTCATCTCTAGTATCAGTATAGAGAAAGGCTTTCTAAATATTAACATTAAATTGAGAGGCAATAAAAAATTAACAGAGTTTACTACAGAAAAAATGAAAGCTTTCTGCATTGCAAACAAAACAAAACAAAACAAAAAGCACCAAAATCAAAGCCAAAGGACAATTAATTGGGAAAACTATAACACATCAAAGATAAAGAGTTAGTATATAAGGAATTCTTAAAATTTGAGAAAGGACCAAAAACCCATAGTAAAATGGGAATGACATGAACAGACTATTCATAAAGATACTCAGATGGCCCTTAAATACAGAGGATACCTTACTTCATTCGTAGCTAGAGATGCAAATCAAAACTAATGTGAAATACCATTTTTTACCTATCTGATTTGGCAAAAATTAAAAAGCATGACCTAAACATCCTGTTGGCAAGGCTGTGAAAAGAGGCATGAACTCTTATACATTCCTGGTGGGAAAACAAACTTGGTACAACCCTTTTGGATGAGAATTTGGCAAAATCTAACAAAAGTACATATACACTTATATTTTGACTCAGCAATCCTATGTTTGGGAATTTACCTGAAGGAAGATACATCCCAACAATATGAAAATACACATGCACAAGGTTACTCAATTATAGCACTGTAATGGCAAAATATTGGAAATGACCTAAATGCCCATACATAGAAGAGTAACTGCATAAACTATAGTATATTCACACTACATAGCTGTTAAAAATGTTTTTGGAGTATTATCTCCATGAACTGGTATAGTTTCCAGGGTATACTGTAAAGTAGGAAAAAACCACCAAAATATAAAAGTTAACTATAACATGCTACATATCATGTAAGAAAAAAAGGGAAATAATAACCACTCATTTATTCAAAAGAGACAGGAAGTATAAAACAGAAACCAGAAATAGATTACCTACAGGGGATAGGTGCAAACGGGATAGAAAGGCTAGGAGAAAGAGAAAGAGCTAGAAAGGATAGGAAGGAGTGACACCTTTTGTATAGTTCTAACTTTTAGAACTATGCTAATATTTTACATACAAAAAAACCCCCCACAAATTAACAAAGAATGGGCAGCATTCATTGTGAAATACAAACAAAAACAAGTTAACTAATTTCATTACAAAAGAGTAGCATAACCATACTGAAAGGGGAACTGAGAAAAGAACCCACATTACTTTGTAAAACAGTATTTTGATTATGCACTGTAAGACTGAAAAAAAAAAGCAACTATACACAAATACTGCACAGGCTGGTAAGCTGTTTTTTCACTGGTAGATACGTGGTTAATAATTCTGAAAGTATTTTCTGTGTATTCTATAAATTGGGCAAATAAAAGTGAACATACTGGAGATAGATTTCTTACTGTTGGATAAAAGTTTCAAATATAGGAAGACTAGAATCAACTCTGGTGTTGGCCTGGTATTGGAGATACACACACATACATCAATCTAGAAATAGATATAGGTGTATATATTACACACATTTTCTAGCTCTGTTAAGCAGGCCAGAAGCAATGATACCTCAGTACCTATGAGATCAAGTACTATTTTAATTTCTAAAGACCACTGTCTCTAGAAGGAACCATGCTTAGAGGAATCACTAATTCCAGGGCTGGAGAAGAGAAAATCCAAGATGGGTACAGTGTATCTTTTGTTGCCAGAATTTAAGTATTAAAAGGATGGCAACATCAAAAAGACATGAGGGTCAACTGAAAGGAGTTTGCATGGGCAAATTGGGACATTCTGAGTTACAAAATAAATAATGGTAGTAATGGGTCGTAACCTAAAGAATAACGTAAGGTTACATGGGCCCATTATCAATAAAATAAAATAAATAATGAATGGGGGGGGACTTCCTCAGAGCAGAATTTCAACTACTAAAAGCAGAAGAAATGTTGGAAATAGCAAACCATCACTTGGCAAATTCTACACTAAAAATTGTTTCAGGAAAGAACCACGGGGGAAGAAAAAACCATGAATGCAGGGGCGCCTGGGTGGCTCAGTCATTAAGCGTCTCCTTAGGCTCGGGTCATGATCCCAGGGTCCTGGGATAGAGCCCCGCATCTGGTTCCCTGCTCGGCGGGGGGCCTGCTTCTCCCTCTCCCCCTCCCCCTGCTTGTGTTCCCTCTCTCGCTGTGTCTCTCTCTGTCAAATAAATAAAATCTTAAAAAAAAAAAAAAAAAGATGACATTATTTAAAAAAAAAGAACCATGAATGCCTGCCCTCTTAGTGGGCAACAGTATGAAAAATAGGGTACTTACATAGTCCCTAGAATTTCCCCACAAGATACTAATTACAAGATACAAATTACAAGATAGTAATTTGACAGTGGAGAACTCTGGCAGACACCACCTTCAGCAAGTGATCAATTATTAACAGTGTAAGCAACAGGACAAATTATCATCATGCACTTGCTGCTACACTGAGGACACGTCAGTTCTGTGTTATTCTTGCCAAAAATTCATAAACTCAATTTAACCATGAGGAAATAGTAGGCAAACCCCCAACTGAGGATCTTTTACAAATAACTGCCCTGTCCTTTTTAAAAAGTCTAAGGTCATGAACAAACAATGAAGTGTCCCAGACTAAAGGATTAAAGAAAGAGGACAACTACACCATGTGGGATAATGAAGTGGATCTTTGACTAGAAAGATTAGTGGAGCAAATGGTGAAATGTGAAAAAAGCCTGTAGAACAATACAAGGTAATTAATATTAAACTTTATAATAATGTTAATTCCCTGATTTTGACAATTGTCCTGTAGTTATTTAAGATGTTAACATCTGGAGAACATGGAAATACCCTGTAATATTTTCACAATGTTTTGTTAAGTCTGAAATTTTTTTCAAAATGAAGTTTAAAATTCAAAAAAGTATCTTCATGTGACCAGGAACGTAACTTTCCTCCACGCTAAGTCAAGCTAATCTGGATTACTAGAGCGAAGGAAAAAAATTTGAAAACAAACAGCCTTCATTTGTAATTATTCAAACTGGAATGAATCTTAATTCTAAAATGTAGCTCAATTTTTTATTTACTAGGACCTGACCTTCTGGGCAGCAGCTGTATAAACATTTCAAACACATGACATGGAGCCAATGGATGGCAGACACTATGTATACCTTCTAACACTTAGGGATTTCCAAAGATATGCCTTGGCAGGATTTTGTACAGCACAGGACAGAAAACACTTTGGCAGTGAAGGAGAGGGATGATTTGGATTAAGTCTTTTCCAACCCCAGATACTGTAATGCTATAGAACTATGTGCTAAGTTAGGTAGACTCCAATAAATACTAATTTTAAATTTCCCATTACTTTGGCCAACAATCTGGGCAAGAGCAACAATCATAACATCTGGCTCGTCTTTTTTGTTAAATAAATAAAAAAACAAAACAAAAACCCCAGCAACAATTATGTAGAATAGAAAATAAGAACACTATTGAGTTTGACAAATTTATTGGTATTTTAGTAAAGACATTCATCTCAGTCGTTTCTCTCCCATCTTGACCTTAGGTTAGTATTTCATTTGAGTCAAGAAAAGAATATGTAGGAGAGGGATGTTATTTTAACATAAACAGTAAAATGGACAAAAGTGGAAAGTCCGCCTACATTAAAGCAAGTTAAATTCATCTATCTTGATATAATTAAATCATGTAAGGACTAATAGTTCTATATACATTTCCATTGTTTTACTTGGGGCTTACTCTAAACTTAAATGCAAATGAACAAAATGTTAGGAATATATACAGGCTGCTTCTCTGGAGTTATTACCTATTAAAAGAGCTCAGCAAGTAGTTACCACCAATAAAATAGTCTGAAGCTGCCTCCAAATTAAACATTGCAGGAGTATTCAAAGAAATCATTATACGGTGTTTCTTTTATCTGTGACTACGCTTGTAAAGATGTGTTTATAACTGTCACATTAAAAAATAATTCATATACAAAAATTTTAAAAAAACCCTACAAAACACAGATCTAACAACATATATGTGGTCAAAGAATCCATAAAATATGTTTAAAGATGCATTTTCTTTCTTTTTATCTTCAGTACCTAAAATGTGCTTTTGAGAGGCCATTGGTTAATATGTATACACTTCAAATAAACCATATTACTGTACTAAAATAAGAATTCTTGTATTAAGTTCAAATGAAACTCGCTTTCACAAGTTAGTAACTTAAATTAAGCTTTAACAAAGTTACAGAAAGTGCATCTTTCTCATTTTCATCTTCATACAATGTTGCTTTTTTGGCGTTTCTACCTTTTAAAAATAAAAACAGCCAAATATTTAAGTATTATGTACATTTAAATTTTTGGTGGTGGTTTGTATTTTAAAAGAAACAGCTTCCTTATGATTTGCCTCAAGATCTGGTGGAAATGCTTACAGGAACTAGCTAATAACAAAAACCAAGAGAAGCACATTCAAAATACTGATTTACTTTGGTAGCAAATGGTCTTTGAAGACTAATGAAGGTAGACAAGACCCGTTAAAGTGAAGTGGGCTATTTCAAATACTCAACAATTTACATAAAATTTTTTTAAAAAATTTTAAAGAGCTAAGCATCTGTACCAACTGATAGCAATGCAGTATCTAGTTTATGATGACCTGAAACAAAACAAATGCCCATTAGGAAAAAAAAAAAGCTGTATTTTAATTTTATCTAACGTACTTTCAGTCAATAGTCCAGTAACATTTTCCTCCCAATACAATACTCCCTCTTCTATAAGGCTGTTCCTGGGAGCCTGACACTTTAGGTTAATAAGGGAGTTAAGAGTAACTGCTTGCAGTTTAACAGACAATAACTTTTTGCGTTCCTCTTAATGTGCTAATAGTTGTGTCTAAAAAAATATGCAATTCTTAGAAAGGTACCATTTCTGATTTTTTATTATCTGTAACCTTTGGAAACTAATCACATGAAACTACAAAATTAGCAAATGTTTTGAAATCTGTATATAAAACATAAATTACCTCTAATTTCAAACTCTCATTTATTAGTGTACCACTCAATCTTAAAAAAAAAGAAAAAAAAAAAAAAGGCTCCAAAGACAGTCTTACACCATGTTCTTTAAAAAAGGAAACTGTTCCTTTTAACTTTTCACCCACCCCACACCCCAATTTCAAAACACATCATTTAATTGTCTTGGTCATGGACATTTCCAAGATGAGATTTTATATTTCGCTCCCATAGCTTCTGGTTATCAGAAAAACCATGCTTTCCTTTATTGAAGGAGTTTGGTCCTGCTGATGTTGGTGTATCCCTGTGTTAAAAGACAGGAAATTTATTTAAAAGTTACATAAAGCCTTTCGGGCCATGTTTTTAACTCATTCAAAACATATTTGTTTAGTACCTATTATGGACAAGGCCTAAGTATCACAAGCCCCTAGAGAGTTTTTAAAAAATACCCTTTCTATGTAAGACCCAGTCCTAAAATTCCAGATTCAGTAGGTCTGAGGAGAGACCAGCATGTTTAACAAACACCTAAGGGGATTCTGACCTATAGCTAAGCGTGGCAACCACAACTGTGTTTAGAACTGTTGCTTGAAACGCTTCAACAGGGTCATGAAATCAACTGATGGCTTGCCATCAGCATCTATAAAAAATGAAATAGAAGAAAAACATGAAGATATATTACACACAGAAAGGTTCAGTGTCATTGTGGATTTGTTTCAGTTTTACATCTTTTACGTTTTTAAACATATAAACAACAAACAAACTGGGTGTTTAGACAAGGTTATAAGATCAGATGTGTTTCCTACTTTAGGTCCCAGTATGTAAGGAAAGCGGGCAGGCAGTCACCGGGACTGTTCCTATTTGAACCCTAGACTCCAAGTCTGATATAGATGCTTGCATATGGACTTAGTTCTCTGGGAGTTTATAATTTGGTAGAAATGGGGACAAACTATGGGTTGATTTAAATCCAAACTTCCTTACTAGCCTCTAAGTTATCTTAAATACAAGAAAATGTGCATTACGTTAACTTGATATGTTATTTCCGTGACAACAGAAACATGGAGGAAAATTAAAATACTTGCCCAATTTTGGTATTTGGCATCTTAATTAGGAAAAAATGACATGTACAATCAAGATTAAATGGTGAGAATAATATGACAGGTGAATGAGTGAAAGCCTTTTCTTTTTTATACTGAAAAAACTTAAATTTTAAATCAGAAACATTTCTCATAGCTATCTGAAGAAAATACAGATTACATGTATCTGAAAAGAAATATCCTTAAAATTATTTTTTTTTCATAAGATACTCAATTTCTCTTCCCAGGAGAGAAAATAAGATCACTGATAGCTCACAAAACAAAATTGTTTTGCCCAAATATGCAAGAAAAGCCCAAACAATAAAGATCATTTTAAAAGATCATTCTCTACAATCTTTATAAAAAAATATATACCTTCCAATATTCTTCATCCTCATCTTTGCTTCTGGAGGCATTTCCTCTGGCTCACTCTGAAGGAAAAAAAAAAAAGCAGAGATGTGTTACATGTTTATTAAATTCACTTGATTACTAATAATACTAAATTTTGTATCTAAGTCTTCTAGCACTTTCAAGACTATAAATCTTGGTAAAAGGAGAAAAGTATTTATCTTAACTACATTTTAAAAAGAAACACATAGATCTTCTAGTGTGCTGACTTTGCATAAAGAAAAAAATTTGATAAAAACCTGACATTCTAAAACCCAAACCATTTGTTTACTATGTAGTACACACTGTGCTAAATGCTTTAATATGCACTCTCTTTTAAAATCCTAACAATCCTCAGGGCACCTGAGTGGCTCAGTTGGTTGAGCATCTATCTGACTCTTGGTTTCAGTTTGGGTATGATCTCAGGGTGGTGGAATCAAGCCCTGAGCTGGGTTCCATGCTGGGGTGGGGTGGGGGAGAGAGGGGGGAGTTGGCTTGGGATTCTATTCCTCTGCCCCTTTCCCGACTCTCTCTCAAATAAATAAATCTTTAAAAGAAAAACAAAAAACCCCTAACAATCCTGCTAGGTAGGTATAATTATCATCATTTGCATTTTAAAGGTGAGGTAAATAAGGTTAATTTGTCTAAAGTTAAAAAGCTAATAAACAGCAAAACAGCTAGATGCCAAAGCAAAGATTCTTAACAACTTTATGGTATTGCTCCTTCTAAAAATGTCTCCTTTACTAAAAAGGTATCTTTAAAGTTCATTCTTTCTATACTTCTAAAGATGTTGAAAAGATATGTGATAAGTTAAATTCTTTTTAGATCTGTTTTTATGTATGAATGTTGCTGGGGAGATAATTTTTTTATTTTTAAGTAGGCTCCACAACTGACATGGGGTTTTAACTCATGACCCCGAGACCAAGAATCACATGCATGGTCTACCAACTGAGCCAGCCAGGAGCCCCTAAATATTCTTTTTTAAAAGAGTGTCCTTAAGATCTAGACTAAAGGAGTTTCTCCTGGTCAAATCTGAGATAATTTGAGCATTACTGCCTACTGAATAAAGAATCCATGAGGTGCTCCTGGGTGGCTCAGTCATTAGGCATCTGCCTTGGGCTCAGGTCCTGGTATCGAGTCCCACATCGGGCTCCAGTCCCACATCGGGCTCCCTGCTCACTGGGAATCCTGCTTCTCCCTTTCCCACCCCCTCTGCTTGTGTTCCCTCTCTCGCTGTGTCTCTGTCAAATAAATAAGTAAAATCTTAAAAAAAAAAAAGAATCCATGAGCTTACACTTATATAAATAAGGGAAAGCTCTTCCTTACAGGAAGAGACAATAAATATAAAAGAGATAAAACAATGAGAAAAATCACCACTTGGCAAACATTTATAAAAATTGATTCTGGCAGGAATCATCAATGGATGCTGACACTCATGGGAGTGTTTAAAAAATTATATATTTTCATGTATTCTTTTTTTTAAAGATTTTATTTTTAAGTAACCTCTACACCCAACTTGGAGCTCAAACTTATGACCCCGAGATCAAGAGTCCCATGTTCTACTGACTGAGCCAGCGAGACGCCCCATAAATTTTAATTTATTTTATTTTATTTTAAAAAAAATTTTTATTCTATTAAGATTTATATTTTTATTTTATTGTTATGTTAATCACCATACATCACATCATTAGTTTTTGATGTAGTGTTCCATGAATTCATTGTTTGTGTATATCACCCAGTGCTCCATGCAGAACGTGCCCTCTTTAATACCCATCACCAGGCTAACCCATCCCCCCACCCCCTTCCCCTCTAGAAACCTCAGTTTGTTTCTCAGAGTCCATAGTCTCTCATGGTTCATCTTATTTTTTTTTATTTTAAGTAGGCTCCACACCCAACACGGAGCTTGAACTCACAATCCTGAGATCAAGAGTCACGTGCTCTACCGACTGAGCCAGCCAGGCGCCCCCATGTATTCTTAAAGCATATCCCCAAAAATAAATTTTAATTACAAAAGGTAAAACAGTAATTTGAAAAGTACAGAAATCTGGCAGACATCACTTTAACCAAATGATCAAGGTTAACACTGTCAGTAATGGGACATACTGACAACATGTGCTCCCTGATATGATAACATTAAGAACTTGGCATCACCTCTGTGGTATTCCTGCCAAAATAAGTTAATATGAATCTAATCATGAGGAAACATCACACAAATTCAATCTAAGGAATATTTTACAAAATAACTGGCCTGAACTCTTCAAAAATGTTAATGCCATAAAACAGAAAGAACCAAGAATTATCCAAATTAAAGGAGACTAAGGAGATCTATATTTTTAATATAGATATATTAATATATCTTTATAAATATAAATTTATATAGATTTAATAGATCTAATTAGATATTATATATTAGATACTATATCTATATTAATATAGATATAACACTATCTCTATAATATAGATAATATATCTATATTAATATAGATATATAGATATAAATTTATATAGATAATTTATATAGATATATATTTTTAGTTTTCAAATATATTTTTTTGAAAATATATAAAATATATTTTTAAATTTCAAAATTAATTAAATGGATGCCCTTATTGTCCAACATGCTTTAGGCTAGATATATATCCAAGGTTACTTAACTATGTTCTGCAGAAAAAAGAAAAACCAGACGAAGATTTCAGATGCACACATTCTTTTATCTAAGAAACAAATTAAAGTTTATATCCTTTACCATCAACTTGCTAATTTCTCCATTCGCAAAACAGGAATAACTACATCACACGATTCAGAGGAATATATGAAGGATAAAATAAAGTTACGTGAAAAGATATTCAAACTGTTAGACATTCAAAGTAAGCCAGTACTATCACGTAGCTTACCATTTCCAGCCTCTCTACTTTTGCACATGTTGTTCCCTTCTTCCTATACTGTCCTTCCCTCATACATTCTGTACATACCAAAAAGCTACCTAAAGGGGCGCCTGGGTGGCTCAGTTGTTAAGCATCTGCCTTCGGCTCAGGTCATGATCCCAGGGTCCTGGGATCGAGCCCCGCATCGGGCTCCCTGCTCAGCAGGAAGCCTGCTTCTCCCTCTCCCACTCCCTCTGCTTGTGTTCCTGCTCTTGCTATCTCTCTATCAAATAAATAAATAAAATCTTAAAAAAAAAAAAAAAGCTACCTAAACTCGTAAGAATCATGACAAAACATTAAATTAGTACTTTTCAAACTTTTTTTGAGGGGGTGAAATACTTTTTTTCCTCAAAAAAATCTTATTTGGGTCCCTAAGTATCAAACAAATTAAAGAACAGCTACAAATGAAAAGGGGGCAGGAAACCAGAGCCCTGCTTGTTAGGGATCACCTAACACCACAGTAACGCCTGAGACATTTCCACAGAATCCCAGAACTCTGAGTAGTAGTTTAAAAATATATGATTTAAACTAAGCCTTCATTTTACAGCTGAAAAACTAAGGCTCCAAAAAGGTAAAGTGACTTATTCACAGGCTTTCTACTGGTTAGTAACTAGACAAGAAAGGAAAAGAATCCAGGTCTTCCCATTGCCAGTCCAGTGGTCGTGGTCTTTCCATGCTGCTGCATCTAGTTACTTGGCCTCTCTTCCTTCCCTGAATTTCCACACCACTTTAGGTCTTCAGATACTTTTCTTATTTTGTACTATTTTATGCCCTGCTAGGCTGAATTCCTAGAGGAACATGTCTGATTTATCTTTGTAATCTCACTGTGCCTAGCATGTAGAAATCACCCCAGTGTGTACGATGAGTAAGTCCAAAGAATACAGTGATAACCACAGTAATTCTTTACCTATTGATTTGGGCTCCAAATATTCCATATTCATCCTTGCTCAAACTTCTCTACAAAAATCTCCAGTCCAGTCAAATGCAGCTCCTAAGTATTTACTACTCTTATAACTCTTAGCTTATAAAAGTATTCCTCGGTTTGTCAAAACACTGCCTAATGTTTCGGTATCCAATTCCTATTTCTCCTCTATATATTCTTCCCAATCACTTCAGCCCACAGTATGCTCCTCTGAATGTATAATTCTTAACCACACTGTTTTGGGAGCAATTACTCATGTACCCTGTTAATACTTGTTATACAATGGGGTCACATTTTAAGTGGGGGTTAGTTTCTAAAGTCAGAGACCAAAGAAAAAAATCAGTCAAAATAATGCTTAAATTCCGTATCATGTTATTCATAAGCATAAGAGAGGGGCACTGTGAGAGGCATGAGGATACTAAGACTGCCTTATGCCTAAGGCATAAGGAAACTAAGAGAACAGCAGATAAGTAATGCTCACTCTGGAACACGTGCTTACTGAATAGATTTCTGGCAGAATCACCTGCACTATTTGCTATTCTTCATGGGGATACCAGAAGAAAGCATTACAGCTGCCTTTTTGGAGTTGCATGCATGCACGATGTCTCATCACTGAAGACTCAACTATAAAATTATTAGACAGCAGCATTAAATTTTTCTTTTTTTGAACCCTACATATTTCCTAGCACATATGTGTATTATTACTGTTCATAATAAGCATCTGTTTATTTGATTCTTTTTTTTTTTTTTAAGTAGGCTCCATGCCCAGTATGGGGCTCAAACTCATGACTGTGAAATCAAGACCTGAGCCGAGATCAAGAGTCACTTAACCAACTGAGCCACCCAGAAGCCCCTGTTGATTTGATTCTTAAGTTCATTGCTCCCAAAGGCAATATTTTAAATAATCCTACAACCAAATAAATAGAAATATCCAGATTTTGCAGGCATCACACATACACAAAAAACTATTCAGAATTACAAAAATTCTCTAGTACCATTAGTACAACCTACAATCTGCCACTAACATCTTCCTTTAAGAACTAACTGGTTAAAGTAAAATAAACAAAACTAGGTGTTGACTTACATCTTCATCTTCATTAAAAGCTGCTGCTACTGAAAGGGTTTTTGGAGCAAGCGTTGGAACAGTTTCTTTAGGCTTCTGAAGAAGAAACACATTAAAAAGTATCACATAATGTTAAAAGTATCACATAATGTTTATACAGGCTTGTTTAATGATATAAATAACATCTTCAAAGACTTGATTTTACGTTTTCATAGAAACATATAGTAAGGAACTCAGAACAAACTTTAAAAAAGTCCATTTTTTCTTTTTAAAAATGTGGTTATCAACGGGTAGCTTTAACTTTATTAATTATATGTCCATTTGTTTTCATCCTGTAAAACATTTTCTAGTCAAGATATACATTATCATGTAGCTAACAGGCATCTGGAAAAGGTAAAAGAAAATGATTAGTACTACTTTTCCACAGTAACAAAAAATGAAGTGCAATGTGCCTTGAGAAAGAACATAAAAGACCCTAAGACTCATCTCTCTAGTGGGTAGCTTTCTGACCTGTAGCCTGTAAACATGCTTCTCTTCTATCTAATCTAAGTTTCTGAGGTCAGTTGTCCTCACTATCTTCATACTCTCACCATCCATTTTGTCGATCACCCACTGCAATCTGGCTTCCTCCCTCATTCCCCCATGGCTCCTCACTCACCTAGAATCGGGTAACCTTGGTTCTATAGGGTCACCAATGACCAGTGCGCCGCCTTTGACTCTAATCACCAGCTATTTTTTGAAACACTCCTACCTGGACTTCTCTGACAATGCTTTTTAGATGCTATTCTAATTCTCTGATCTTTTGTTCCATTTCCCCTTGTTTCCCCCGCCAAATGACAGACACCCAAGAATCTATCTTTAGGGATCTCTCCTTTCCTTCTCTGTACTTCCCCAGTCAACTCCATTCACTCCCATAGTTTTAACTACCAAATCCAATGGCTGCCCCAAACAGGATGTCATATGCCAACTAGTTAGCTCCACTCAGAGACCCAATGGGTACTTTAATTCACAGTGTTCTAAGTACCCAAGCCAGAAAACTTTTTCCTCAACTTGCATTCTATTGTAAAGTCTTGTTGCTTAAATCTCTATCTAATAGACCTACATCTCCCTCTGCATTCCCATCAACTACCGACACCCAAGGCCCCTTAGCATTACTTGCCTCAACTACTGTTAGAAATACCATCCCCCCACCTTTCAGTGTTTATTCCCTCTAATCCCCTATAACGGTACCAGAGTGATATGTCTAAAATACAAATCTGTTTAAAAGTTTCCATACAACAGTTCCATAGCTCTGCTAGAACCTAAAGAATAAAACCAAACTATATTATGTAAGTCCTTTATGATTCCGTTCTATGGTCTCATCTGGGGGGCTTTCTATCCCTACATTTGCATACCACTTTCCAACTACAAACAATTTCTTGAATGGCTTCACATCTAAACTGCTTTTGCACAAAATTCTTTTTATCTGAGATGCCCTTTGCCTCCTGTCTACATTTAAGGCCAACTCAAACATCACCTCATCAGTGAAATCTTCTCTGATCTACTGAAACAAAAGGAACCACCCTTTCTTCTATAACACAAACACTTTTTATAAATGTTTGCTTTTGAAGGAATAAAAAAATGTTAATTTGGAGATTATGCATAGAGACTCTAGAAATATCCTTTACTCTTTTAAAGATGTCAGGTGTCTGATGTTGTACATACAGCATATGACACAAGTAAGTGCCTGTTGATCAACTACTTTTTCAATCATATAATCAAAAGCAATAGTTCCAACTATTTTTTGTTATCTTAAAACTCACTTCCCCAAGATGACTGTGTTTATACTAAAGTTTACTTTATAAAAACAGGTTTTTGTTTTCCAAAGATTAAAAGTTTTATTGACTAGGCATTTTCAAACAAAACCCTCCCATCTAAAATGATCAGCAATTACTAAATCATGTTAATGATTTAGAAAACATAGGGATTTAGATATCTAGTTTAGGAGTGTGCTGACCCCAGTAAAATCTATTATCAAGAATAACATCTATATGGAAGTGTACATGAGAATACATGTTTAATGACTATCAAAAAAATCCCACAAGTATTTATGCAGTTGGTCTATGCAACTTTATTTAAAAAAAGGATTGAACAGGAAGAAAAGTCATGAAGTAATGAAGTTACAAGCTGAATGTCTTTTGTCCAGATGAATTTTTTAAAGAAAGAAAGAAAAAGGCAAAACAACATTAGGGTAGGAGTAGGGGTTCTGAGAAATCGTAGCTCTTTTAAAACTAGAGTGTAACTCAAACACACCGACTCTAATGGGAACCTGATTCATATCATATTTTTGAGATCTTTGAATGAACATCTAATGCAAAAATAAAGCTCTATGCATCTGGCAAATGAGCATTAATTTTCACAGAACAGATATGAATAAACAACTTAGGCAATAATCCTAATAATTCTAGGATTATTCTCCTTACACAAGAATGTAACTATTTTCTAAAGCTAAGAGTAATACACTACCTAACATTTTTTTCTTAAAGATCTATGTGGTTGAAACATATGAAACATATGAAATTGTCACTTTTGTCGGTCAGAAATAGTCAAATCTAGGAACTTCGTATGTTTCAATCTAATATTTCAAAACTTTCCAGATACTCCATGGTTAATAATTAAATTAATTCAAGGTTTATATTTACAACAAGGGCTCAAAAGTTGATCTGTCATAGGATATACAGGGCTCAATGTCCATTTATAGCTCCGAAGTAATCAGGAAGCAGTTATCAAGTAATACCTTACTAGTACTGATTTCTAGAGATATTATTTTTAATATTACTGGAATTAAAAGGTAAGAAAAATAAACCGAAATTCTTCCTGAAAATATTTTTCAGAGGTTTTTGCTCAACTTGGAAAAAATTCTAAGCTGTTACTTTATAAATCATATATATTCCTTATAATAGTTGCTCCTTCTCATATTCCAAACCTTTTAAAAAAGTTTTCTTGAGTTACAATTTTTCCACACCATTCCTGAATGCAGAGCTGGTAACGTCTTAAATACTTACGTGTAAGTTCACGCACTAATGTACCTTTTTAGACTGAATTTACCATAACCCCCTAATAGCAGGTTCCTGAAACAAAAATTCTTAAGTCCCATTATGAACATCATACAGGTAAAATAACAACTCACACTTGATCCAAGTTTGATGGATATGGCTGAGGCTTTCTTTGTCGTCTGACTACCTATGGCAAATCCAAACTTGGAGATCTTTGTAGGCTTTGTTGGGAGGTCTGCAGCTTCTTCTTCAGCTGATCGCTTCTCAGCGCTGCGACTGGAACTTTCCCCTCCATTACTGGAAGAAACAGTCTTAGTTTTCACAGGTTTTTCTGCTTCTTCTTCAGGTCCTGGTGAAGTCGAAACAACTTACCAAGATGAGCTATTTTTACTGAGCAGATTGATGGGAGCAGCAACCTCAAAAAGCATCGTTATAAGGAAGATACCTCTGCAGTTGTCACCTACTGACCCAACAGTCTCCTCCACTGTTTGTTAGAGTATACAGCAGGAACTGAGATTGTGTGGCAGTAGAAGAGGCTCCCATGAATTAACTAGCATAAAATACAGAGCAATTTAAAATTATAAACATAGAGTTCACAAAATCTAAGACCCTTCAACTAAACACTATTATAAAAGTTATATAATAATCTAGTCATTTGTGGGATTTTGCTTTTTAGAAATTAAGGTCTATAAATTCTTCTACACAAATTAGCGTGTGAGCAATTGGTCACATCACAGAACAATACATTTGATTAATAAATTCTGACATTCTTCAATTATGTAGTACTAGTTATACAAAAAGTACCTAGTTATGAATGGCCTATTATTACCAGAACTACAACATTAATACAGCCTGGAGTAAGTTTCTTGAGTGATGTATTCCTCACGTACCTCTCACACAATTTTTAGAGTTGAAATGGAAACTGAAGGAAGACATCAAGTCATTCCCTCTTATGTAATTTAATTCTACTCTGAAAGCTTGATTATCACCTATTTTAACAATCATACTTAGGTTTACACACTACTTTTTCTCATGAAAGAAAGACAAGCTAATTATAATTTCAAATAGAAGCCATACATATGTAGATTTGGAATGTAAGATGGCTTTCAGTAATTGTGCTTGTATTTGTATTAATCCATGACAAAATAAGTTTGCATCTTGAGTATCTTTGGTCCTTTAGAGGAGAAGGCTATTTAAGAGCATACTGAATGGTAAGATAGAAGAAGTCTGGTTGATTAAAAATTTTATTTTCTTTCCCCAATTCACCCTATAGAATGTTTTCTGCTACACTAAACAGTTTATTTATGAAGAGAAGATAGGCTCTAAGCAATAGCCCTGACAACAAGTTAACAGGACAAACAACTAGAATGGGGGAAAAGTGGAAAATCAAACACAAATAGATGGACAAGTAACAGATTAAAAAATCCAGAGGCTATAGCTCTCAATCTATATAATTTTGGAAGGATGAGGTCTCTAGATTAATAAGCACTTTGAACAGAACATTTGATTTTGTTTAGAGGAAAGATAACAGGAACTCTTTATTCCCTTTGGACAAGGAGTGAAAGTTGTAATAACAATGTAGGGGAATTAAGCAGGACTAGGCTTTGGTATTTCCTCAGGAGACAAAGATAGCACTGGAATGGTTGCTGGAGGTGCCATTTACTTATTTAGATATGAAATTACAAAAGCACCTAAAGAATGTAAGATCAACATTTAATAGCTGAAATACAGAAATCAATTTAGAATTTCTAGGGGCACCTGGGTGGCTCAGTCGGTTAAGCGTTTGCCTTCAGCTCAGGTCATGATCTCAGGATCCTGGGATAGAGTCCCACATTGGGCTCCCCGTTCAGCGGGGAGTCTGCTTCTCCCTCTCCCTCAGCCCCCCAACCCCCTATCCTCTCTCTCTCAAATAAACAAATAAAATCTTTTAAAAATTAATTTAGAATTTCTTAAAAAAAAAAACCCAACAGTATTATGCCAACATTAGTTTTTTCAAAGCCTAAGTTTAGAACTAAAAGCATTACTCTAAATTTTATTTAAAGATTTTATTTATTTATCTGACAGAGAGAGAACACAAACAGGGGGAGTGGGAGAGGGAGAAGCAGGCTTCCAGCCGACCAGGGAGCCCAATGCGGGGCTCGATCCCAGGACTCTGGGACCACGACCTGAGCCAAAGGCAGACACTTAACGATGGAGCCACCCAGGTACCTCCTAAATTTTATTCTGCATTCTATTTATAGCTTTAATCAAGTATGAGTTTTACTGTAGAACCTAAACAATGATAACTATTTCTTTGTGACTAAAATTGAAAACACAGTCTCTATATATGGGAACATATAGAAACATATAGAAAATGCACTGGGTTTACATAGAGAAACAATCGATACACTAAGGCACAAGTTTTGTGCAAACACAAACTCCGAAAAACATCAAAACAAATAGCATAAAGAACATTTAATCTTGACTGCAGTATTCTCTGCTCTTTGAACTGTGACCCAAGAGCTATATATAATTAGTCAAGATTTCCAGTTCTTTAAAACACCCTATCTTTTCTTAATTCTAGGTCTCCTTTTACCCAGAAAATAATTCTGGAACAAAGAATCTAGAAAAACTACAGGGTGCCTGGGTGGCTCAGTCAGTTAAGCGTCTGCCTTCGGCTCAGCTCATGATCCCAGGGTCCTGGGATCAAGCCCTGCATCGGGCTCCCTGGTCCGTGGGGAGTCTGCTTCTCCTTCTCCCTCTGCCCTGCTGCTCCTACTTGTGCTTGCTCTGTGTCAAACAAATAAAAATAAAATCTTAAAAAAAAAAAAAAAGAATCTAGAAAAGCTAAAGCATAAGTATAAAACAAAGTGAAAAACATAAATCTTACTATAATATTAATACCATTAAGTGTGACAGCTGGCTGAACTAGTATGTGATAATATATGGAACACAATACTATCTGTCCAATCCCACGATGCTATAGGGAAAATACCTATGGACACTACTGTAGCATGAACAGGGGAGTTGGGAAAACTACCACTAATTAAGTAATCAACTAATTAATGTGAAATCAAAATTCAACTTTATTCACATATGCTTTCTTGTCACCTTAAGAGGCAATCTGTTAAGACCACCCACATCTCAGGTCCACAATGGAGATGGAACGTATTATGTCTAGCAGGTCATTTCTAAACATGACTGATTCCAGGGATGCCTGGGTGGCTCAGTCGGTTAAGCGTCTGCCTTCAGCTGAAGTCATGATCCCAGCGTCCTGGGATCCAGTCCCACATTGGGCTCCTTGCTCAATGGGGAGCCTGCTTCCCCCTCTGCCTGCCCCCTCCCCCTGCTTGTGCTCTGTCCCTCTCTGACAAATAAATAAAATCTTAAAAAAATAATAATAAAAAAACAAACATGACTGATTCCAAATCCAGCAAATTATTTTTGGACATAGTAAATAACTGTCTGGCTGTGCTCAACTCTTTAAGTTTGTTGTTTTCTTTTCTTTTCTTTTTAAAGCATTTATAGATATTCAACAGCTTTAGAAAATATCCACTCTTCAGTGAAAAGATGGGGGAAAAGGAGTGAAAAAAAGATGGGTGTTGTATTAGTACTCATTACTTAGCCTTAAATGGCTCTATGTGTCACATAGATTGCAGCTTTTATTTTTTTAGGTAATCCTCCTCTAATAATTATGTAGTAAAATATACAAAACATTTAGGAAATAAAGCAAATGGAATATGCAATGAAAATGGAAAAGTGTGACAGCCAAATCTATATTATTATCAATGTGACTGTACAAGTCTATATATATAGTTCATTAGAAGAGAAAATTATTTCAACCTCATGTGAACTTTGAAATATATCATTAAATATAAACATTAATTTCTATGTCCAATAAGGTGTTTTTCTTTAAATACAACATGTACTACACTTTAGCATTTGGGGGCTTTTAATCAAGAACTCCTGTTTTCTATTTATTTAATAGGATCTTTGTATTTTGGGCCATGGAAAACAAAAATTTTAGATGACCATGGATTAGCAATGTGAAAATTTTTAGCAACATAATTTATATTTTATTTATTTTTATTTTTTAACATAATTTGTATTTTAAACAATGAGTAAATATGTGATCAGTTTTCTAAAAATAAAATCACAATTGATAGCAAAACATTAATATAATTATATAAAAGTACTAGATTCTTTATCAAGGAATATTTTAATAAAAGGGATTTTTATCTAGTTTGCATTCATTCTGAGCTAACAAGTGTGTAGTTAATGTGAAATCAAATTACACGTGGTACTGGCATTTTTTTTTTCTTTTCTATTGAGTAGCTGGAGAGGAAAGGTAGGTCTTGGAGAACAAAGTTACCTTACTATGAAAAAGAAGTACCTAATAAAGTTTAAGTCCATAAGGGCATATCCTTCATGACCCATTTGTATTCTGGTAGCTTCATCTGAAAAAAGGGCACATAGCTACCTCTCCAAAAGGACTGGTGTGCAGCTTAAATGAGAACATATTCAAGACCCTCCTAGTGGCTGGCAGAAGAAATGTCAATTTCATTAAAATAGTTATTAGATAGCTTAAAACAGCACAAGATGGCCATGATTATGATATGGACAGCTTTTTTCTAAGATTTCAGTTTCAAGGAGCCACAAAAATTTTGCCGAAGGGAGAATAAAAATCTGCCCAAAGCCTTATCCTTTGCATTCTCCTCCTCTTTAAGGTGAGAGCAAGTTCAAGTAAGTAGCTTCTCTTACTGACATGAATTCATTCATAGCTACTTAGAAAAAATTACACTTCCAACTACTGGACTCTTCAATAGGAGCTAAAAATCAGCTAGGTAAGCTCTTAAGACAAACTTGAGAGTGTTTCAAAATAGTGCCAACTTGCCACAAAATTAGCAATTCAGCCAATCCACAGTATTAAATGTTTTAGCTATGATTTCTCTGTACAAATTAAAAATATCTGACATTCAAAAATGATTTCTATGCAACAGTACTATCTTCTTGTTAAGGCAGGCACATCCAAGGCAAATTATGGCAAAGTTATTAAGGGATAGTACTTAGTCTAAATCACCAACAAGGGTACCATAACTTTTGATATCAATCATCCAAGTTAATTTTATACTAACACTCCACATACAAAAACATGCTACAATAGAAACTTCAACATTCATACTACAGAGTTAATTATCCCTAACTGAAAGGGTGGTGGATAAATTACACAGTCTGGTTATGCTGACACTTAAGGTACATTTCGGCAACACATTAAACACATCTTTAATACTCTCAAGACACTTAAAAAGCTATTCTACAAAGTTAAAAGATAGTCTAAAAGCCAGTTAAGATTCTTCAGGTTGCAGATCTTTGTTTTTTCCCAAACTACTAATTTTTTATGTTATTTTACTCAATAATTTCCAAAACGATTTTTGAGGGGAAAAAAACATCCCTAATGAGATAGTACTATATGGTCTAAATTGCTGTTTAATTAACTGAATATTACGCTTTTCTCAGTTTTTGTTCCCAAGGCAATTCATATTAAACGTCATGTTAGTAAGGTCCTAATAATTGCCTTCATATGCTCTTAATCCTCGGTATTTTCTCAAACTAAATATTTTAAGGGATAAGATTTGAGGGAGTCAGAATAGAGAGTAATACTTAAAACGTTCTAAAGATATTATGATCACCTCGCACGTGTTAAGTTACTTGCCTTGTTGCGACAAAGGGGGGTGGGGGCTTGGAGAGATGTTCCTTTACCTTCATGCACAAGGCCCAAATTTACAGGGGTGGAAGATACAGAATGGAGATAGCTGTAACCTGAGTTAGCATCATAACAAAATACAGGAAAAGTCACACTAGCCTATTAAGCCACCTAAATATCTGTCATGCAGTTAGCTGGCAACAGCCTAACTAAGAAAAAGCGGACAATTCAAAGGCAATCAAACCCTAACCCTAGACCCCGCAGCTTAAACCAGCGGGCAGGCAAAGGTATTCTTTCCCTCCACCTCGACCCATCCCGTTACAGGGTCGATTTTCGGCTTGAAAATAAGAGAAAAGGCCGGGATCGTCGACCTCCTCGGCGAAAAGGGAGAAGCAAACTAACTCCTAGGTGTAACTTAGAGGCCAACACCGTCGGAAACTCGGCCTGCGGCCAGTTCCTGCGGCCACTGCTCGGTGACTCCCACTGTGTGTGTACGCGTGTTTTCTGATGTGCGTCTCCGGTGTGGCGGTAGCGGCTCCTGCACTGCCGCTCCCGGTCCCACCCCGAGTTCGGTCCCCCTTTCTGGTACCCATCTCCCCTCTCCTCGGAAGCAGGGCCTCCGGTGGGGCCAGCAGGTGACGGACAGTGGCCGGCTCTCCCCCGGCAAGGAAGCGATGTGGGCCCGGATCCCAGCGGGCCGCGCCGGGCGTGCCCGGGTCTCGTCTGGGCCCAGCACCTGGCCGGGTGAGCGCCAGATCCGCCCATTCTCGCTCCCATCCTACTCCCCCAACCCCGGGGACCTCAAAGAAAGGCCCAGAGCATCCCACGCAGCCCGCGACGCTGGGGTTGTGTTCACCTCCGGCGGCTCCAGCTCGCTGCGGTTTCTCGGGCTTCTCCTCTCCCGCCTTCCCGTCCGCCATTTTCCCCGCCGCGGCCTCCCCTGCAGCCACGCCAAGGACGTCACGACCCCGCCCAACAACCATTGAGTTTCGGAGCTAGCTGGCGAGGCAGCAGCCTAGAGCGGCCCTGGAAAGTGAAAAGAGGCCGTTTTGGAAACGGAAGTGAATGTGACATCATCTGCGAGTCGCCTCTCAACGAAGGGCGGGGAAGGTTGGGCTGCGTGTCTATGGAAGACTGGTTAGGGACTTGACTGGAGCTTGCTTAGGTTTTCCTGGTCCGGAGAAGTGGGGGAGATATGGGAGCATCACTCTGCAAACGTTGGTGGAATCATGTAAGGTTTCTGCAGACCAGGGTGTGACTACACCTGAAGCGAGCCTGCTCTATTCATTCTGGTCTTTCTGGATTACCTGTGCTTTCTTAAAAAAAAAAAAAAAAAAAGAGGGCAGTGGGGTCTCCTGGCTGGCTCAGAAGAGCGTGGGGCTGATCTCGGGCTCCTGAGTTCCAGCCCCATGTTGGGTGTAGAGATTATTTACATATATAAAACTTAAAAAAAAAAGTCCTAAAAACAAAACATAATATTTATGGGGCGCCCTCTTGTGTCAGACACTATCTTGTTTAATCCCTACAACAGTCCAATGCAGAATTACTCTTTTTAATTAGCTATGAGAATTGAGGCCAAACAGTAATTTGTCTAATGTCACATAGCCAAATGGTAAAACTACTTTTTCTGTAGGTCGTAATTGTCATATCAACTTAAGTTACCTTGGTGGCCTGGGTGGCTCAGTCAGTTAAGCGTCTGTCTTTGGCTCCGTCATGACCCTAGGGTCTTGGGATCAAGTCCCACATCCAGCTCCTTGCTCAGCGGGGAACCTGCTTCTCCCTCTGTCTGCTGCTTCCCCTGCTTGTGTGCTCTCTCTCTGACAAAATCTTTTTAAAAAGAGAGAAGTTACCTCATTCAGTTAAGATTGCAGTCATTTCAACCTTACTTAGAAAACTTTAGTGAGGGCACCTGGGTGGCTCAGTCATTAAGCATCTGTCTTCGGCTCAGGTCATGGTCCCAGGGTTCTGGGATCAAGTCCCACATCGGGCTCCCTGCTCCGCGGAGATCCTGCTTCTCCCTCTTGGGCTCCTCCTGCTTGTGTTCCCTCTCTTGCTGTGTCTTTGTCAAATAAATAAATAAAATCTTTAAAAAAAACAAAACTTTAATGAATCCTTAGGGTTTGCAGAATGAGGTCCAAGTGTTACATTGGGCCCTAGCCTAACTTTCTAGACTCATCTTCCTTGTCTCCCTATATTTATACTACCCTCTTGCCATATGGGGTCAATTCCTCGCCTAGGGACCTGGAGTTTCTGGGTTTGCCCTATATTAAAAGTGTTAACAGAAATTAGTCTTAAGAAGGGGCACCTGGGTGGTTCAGTCAGTTGAACATCTACCTTCAGCCCAGGTCATGATTTCAGGTTCCTGGGATCCAACCCTGCATCAGGCTCCTTGCTCAGCGGGGAGCCTGCTTCTCCCTGTCTGCCACTTCCCCTGCTTGTGCACCCTCTCTCTCTCTCTGACAAATAAATAAATAAAATCTTAAAAATATATATAAAAAAATAATTGTACCTCCTCTAAGGGTGGTCATGGGGATCAAATGGCATTCAAATTAAGATATGCTGTAACCATTAAAACACATACCAAATTTTGAAGGCTTAGCATATAAAAAAATACGAATGTAAAATCTCATTAGTTTTTATACAGATTACACATTGAAGTGATAATCCTGTGGGCATATGGGTTAAATAAAATATATTAGTTTCATCTGCTTACTTATTTTTAATATGGCTACTGGGAATTTTAAAAGCATATATGCTATTGAATAGCAGTGTGGGGAGGAAATGGAAACAGTAAGTTCTTAATATTTGCTTGAAGACTGGCTTAGATATTAAGAACTTAAAAATGGGTAATATAGTAGGGATAATAGTTAAGTAAAGACTTCTTCCTTTTAAAATTGTTTTAATAATTAAAATTTGGGAAGTTGGTAGCATGTTTGAAAAGAGCAAAAGGAGAGCTAGAAATGGTATTACATGAAAACATCTGCCTACTAGGTAAGAAGATAATTAGAACGTAGGCAACAAAAAATTACCTTCAGAGTGGAAGAATACTATAAATTATTGAGTGTTTGAGATAGAAGAGCTACTTCCTACTTAGTGACTGGGAAAGCAGACCATTTAGTTTGGAGAAGTTGAAGTATCTAGGTCTGTTAAATTCCAAATTCCAAAACATTTGGAAAATTAAAATTGTATGAGTTTAAACTGTGGATGAATTTGCCATTGTAATTTATCTGTGTAAGAGTCTTAGAAATCGGGGGCACCTGGGTGGCTGGATCGGTTATGTCCACCTTTGGATCGGGTCATGATCCTAGAATCCAAGGATTGAGCCTCGTATAGAGCTTCCTGCTCAGTGGGGAGTCTGCTTTCTCCCTCAGCCCCTCCCCCTCCCTATGCTTATGCTTTCTCTCTCTCTCTCTCAAAATCTTTTTTTTTTTTTAAAGATTTATTTATTTATTTGAAAGAGCGAGTACATGAGTGGGGGAGGGTCAGAGGGAGAAGCAGGCTCCTCGCTGAGCAGGGAGCCCGATGTGGGACTCAATCCCGGGACTCCGGGATCATGACCTGAGCCGAAGGCAGTCGCTTAACCAACTGAGCCACCCAGGCGCCCTCTCTCAAAATCTTAAAAAAAAAAGAAAGGAATCAGTTACTGCTTAGCCATTTGGAAACAAAATGGTCTTTTTTAAATTAAAATTTTAAATTCTAGTGTTACCTCAATGAAATACCTTAGCATACCATTGCAACAAAGAAATAAGAATATACTCCTCAAAAAGACAACTTGCATATACTAGATTAGAAATTCCATACATTTTAGGGTGCCTGGGTGGCTCAATTGATTAGGCATCTGCCTTCAGCTCAGGTCATGATCCCATGGTCCTGGGATCGAGTCCCACTTTGGGCTCCTTGCTCAGTGGGGAGCCTGCTTCTCCCTCTGCTTGCCCCCTCTTCCTCCCCCCCACGCTCTCTCTCGCCATCTCTGTCAAATAAACAAATAAAATCTTAAAAAAAAATTCCATATATTTTGAACATAGCCTAAATTACATAACTAGTTAATATTTACTTAGCATTTATGGGCCAGACTCAATATTAAATGTTTTATATGAGTCAAAAACTATTTCTAATCTCCTTTTTATAGAGGAGGAAAACTGAAATTTCAAGAGATTAAGCAATTTAGGCGTCAGAGCCTATAGTGTAGCTGGAACCCAGGGAGTAGGGCTAGGACTTGGGAGATCAGTAAGGTGCCCTAGAAGCCTTGTTTGCCTCGCTCTAGGTGCCAGTCCTGCCAGGAAATCCTAAATCCTGTTCTTAAGTACTATGCTGTTTTATCTTCACTGTATCTCAAATGGCTCAAATAGTAGCACCTTGCCACTTAGCTGGGTCAAAGGTTGAAATTCATTCATATCACATTTATCATCAATTCTAAGTTTACACATCACTTTCTCAAGGCCCTTCCTAATCCCACTCGTGAGTTTAGGTTAGGCATCCATTGTTTTTTCCATTGTACTTCATACTCGACTTATTATAGTGTATAATTTATAGGTTGAAAGCCGGGACTTTAAAGTCAGACAGATCTTTTGAATTCTGAGACTATACTTAAAGGCTGAATTTTGAGTAAATTTTCCTTATCTGTAAAAAAGGTACTATTAAGCAACTAAGTTATAGGTACTATAATTGTAGTTTAGTATAATATATATAATAATAGTATAATTGTTTAATTCATGTAAACTGCATATTGCTTGGCAGAGTACTTAGTAGTATTTGGTAAAAGATTAAATCCTGCTTTAAGAAATGTATTGGACTGCATCTCATGTTAATTTCCAGTTCAAAAATTAGGTAGAAGTAGTTGGCTATCCATCTCTATTTCCTATGTTTTCAAAAAATTTAAGAGTGCCGGTAGTCTACAATGAACATTTCCTAAAGTTCTTTTTTTAGGAAACAAGTACACATTTTCTCAAGTATAGTAGGACTTATTAGGTAGCAAGTGGCAGAAACCCAACTCAAACTGGCTTAGGCAAAAAAGGGGAATTTATTAGAGAAATTACCGGGGTATTACATGAGGTTCAAACAACCAATGAATGCTAAAGGCAAATCTATAGCTGTACCTCAGGGATAATTGGAAGCAGGGATTTAAACCGCTCCAAAAATTGGTCTTATTTTTATATGTAAGCTTCACTCCCTACTATATAGCCTGTCTTCCTTCGTAAAAAGGAAGGCCACCATCAATTCCAGGGCTTCCTGTCAAGTCCGCCATCAGATAGTGACACAGGTTTAGTTCTCACATCCAAAAATCCTAGAAAAGGGTTCTGACTAGCCTATCTCTAAGTTTGAATGAGGTGTTTCCTTGGGGATAATCAGCTGTGGCCAGGACAAGGTCCGTAAAAATATAGCAGCTTCCGCTCAAGTCACATGGCTAGAGAAAAGTTTTTCCTAGAAAAGGAAAGCTGGGGCACCTAGGTGGCTCAATTAAGCAGCTGACTTCAGCTCTGGTCATGATCTCAGGGTCCTGGGATGGAGCCCCTGATCCAGCTTCCCGCTCAGCAGGGAGTCAGCTTGTCCCTCTGCCTCTGCCCCTCCCCCAGCTCATGCTCTTTGTCTCAAAAAAAAGGAAAGCTCTCTATACAATAGGTAAGTGCTGTATGTAACAGTCAAGTAAACCCCCCTTTTCTTCCTACAGTCATCAAGTAAACCCCCCTTTTTCTTCCTAAGAGGACACGAAATAAATTTCATCCCCCCAAACCCGTTTTTCGTAATATAGGCGAATCCCATGACATGCCAAGGGATGTCTTAACCTTTTAACCAAAATTCAGTTAAACAATAAACTTCAGTGCCTATGACATGTCCAGCACTGTACCAAATGTTACTTTAATAAGTGAACCACGACCTGAAGTTTAAAGTCTTTTCTGTAAACAAAATCTTAAAAAAAAAACAAAAAACATAATGATGAACACTACATCAAAAACTAATGATGTAATGTATGGTGATTAACATAACATAATAATAAAAGTAATAATTAAGAGAAA